AAGTATTAGTCAAATATGTCATTAATTTTTTTCTAAAAAGAATTAGATCAATTTTGGGTTCATTATTCATTTCTTTAGATATAAAAAAAAGTTTATACATTTAAACCATATATCAAAACATGGTTTGATTTTCATATCGATTAAACACTCATGTCTTTGTAAGAGTTTTGGTCTCCTTTAAAGTTTCCTAGATTTTCCAACAACTAAAAAAGAGCAACAAAATGAAAAGGCAAATCTTTTTTTAAGGCTCCAAGAGAATTTGAAATGCAATAATAAACGCACACTCTCATTACACTAAAAACGCACCCTTTCAATTTCTCTTCCTCTCAAGTCTCAATTCAGACAAAAAAAAAAAAAATTCAAATTTCAAAAACTTCTTCTGTTTGTGACTCAAAGAGATTTAGGGTTTCTTCATGGATTTAGCTCTCAACTTCATTCCATGGTTACTTCTTCTACTCTCGATTCCCTTTACATCATCTCAACCCAACGCCACCGATACAAAACCGTTACCGTCACCGTCTCCGCCTTCAGATTCCGATCTATGCAACGGAGTATTCGTTTCGTACATCCACACCAAAGGATCTAAGATCCCACCAAACGACTCAACAAATCAGTCCTACAGATTCGAATCTGTGATCACAGTGCTTAACCATGGCCGAAACGAGCTCAAATCATGGCGTGTATTCGTCAAATTCGCACACCGCGAGATCCTCGTGTCCGCTACAAACGCCGTACTCTCAGATGGCTCGAGTTTCCCAGTGAGCGTCGAAAACGGCACCGTATTTGCTGGTTATCCTTCGTCGGATTTGAAATCGGCTATTCAAACGGCCGGTGATGTTACTCAGATGCAAGCGAAGGTTGAACTCGTCGGAACTCAGTTCGGAGTTGCGCCGCCGACTGTTCCGCTTCCGAAGAATCTCACTCTCGTTACTGATGGTTGGAAGTGTCCCAAAGCCACCCAAAAAGGTGACAAATCTCAAAGTCTCTAATCATATTCTAAGCTCTATTGACTGATGTTGGTTTTGCTATGTTTTAGGAAGATTCAAGATTCATGGTATTGACTATTGCTTTCTTTGTGGTTCTCTCTGTTTTTTGAAGGTAAGAATGTTCTGCAAGTATGTTGTATGCCGGATCCAGACTATGATAACACAGACATCATTGATAATGAGTTTCTTCCCCGACAAAATGGAGATCTCACTATCATGTATGATGTGGTCAGATCATATGCATCAAATTATATGGCACAAGTCACTATGGAGAATCATAACCCACTTGGCCGGCTTGATAACTGGAAACTGAGTTTTGACTGGATGCGGGACGAGTTTATCGACACCATGAAAGGAGCTTACCCGAGTCTTGTTGATTCATCGGATTGTGTTAACGGCCCACAGGCGAAGCACTATCAAGATCTCGACTTTTCCAATGTGTTAAGCTGTGCAAGACGGCCAACCATCATAGATCTCCCTCTTACGAAATATAATGATTCTACGTTCGGCCTTATACCATTCTGCTGCAGAAATGGGACGATTCTGCCACGGTCGATGGATTCAAGCAAGTCGATCTCAGCTTTCCAAATGCAGGTTTACAAAATGCCTCCGGATCTTAACATCTCTGCTCTTTCACCGCCTCAGAACTGGCGGATCAACGGTACGCTAAACCCGGATTACAAGTGTGGCCCTCCTGTTCGAGTGAGCCCGAGCCAGTTCACCGATCCTAGTGGATTACCCTCAAACAAGACAGCTTTTGCAAGCTGGCAGGTAGTCTGCAACATCACCCAACCAAAAGATGCGAGTCCTAGATGCTGTGTATCTTTCTCTGCCTACTTCAACGACTCTATCATCCCGTGCAAGACTTGCGCTTGTGGGTGTTCCAACAACAAAGTGGCTCGCACGTGCAGCACAGCCTCCCCAGCTATTCTTCTACCCCAGCAAGCTCTCCTGGTTCCATTTGAGAACCGAACCGAACTTAGTATCGCTTGGGCTTATCTAAAACATCGACCTGTGCCAAATCCATTGCCTTGTGGGGATAACTGCGGAGTTAGCATCAATTGGCATTTGGCTACAGATTATCGAGGCGGATGGACAGCCCGGGTCACAGTCTTCAACTGGGGAGAAACAAACTTTGCTGATTGGTTTACTGCCATTCAAATGAAAAAAGCTGCACCGGGTTTTGAGAAAGCCTACTCGTTCAACGCAACTACACTTGGTATCAACGGGGAGAACAACACTATATTCATGGAGGGTCTTCCGGGATTGAACTATCTCGTAGCAGAAAGCGATGGTGAGAACCCATTGAAGAACCCTCGGATTCCCGGGAAACAGCAGTCTGTTATGTCCTTCACTAAGAAACTAACTCCTGGGATCAATGTCCGTGGCGGAGATGGCTTCCCGAGCAAAGTATTCTTCAACGGTGAGGAGTGCTCTCTCCCATCCATACTCCCAATGAGCAGTAACAGCCACCCCCGGAAACATTTCTCCGTTTTTCTACTGGCATTACCGGTTTTGGCTCTCTTGGTTCTGCGTGTATAAGCGCTTGAAAACCTCCCGTGTGGTAGGCGATACACTTTCTTGATTTTCTTCCCGAAAACCCGTCAGTTCAGTGGTTTCCGGGATGGAGAATCAATCGATTCTTGTACAACTGGTGATGAGTGCTTATATAGGTGCTATGAATATATGTTATCATTCTTGTATTGTTTCTGATTAGAGTATCAGTAATCACAAAATCAGTATGTATACTATTTTGTTTTCTCTTTCTCGGTCATTGATTTGTTCATAATCCTCCAAACCCGTAACCGGACGGGTAAATCCAGAAACAACCGAACCAGTTCTTGTCTAAGTAGTGGCAATGGTAAAACCAGTCAAGAGTGAGTATACACAATGTGTATCTTTATTATTATGAAGCAACAAGGCATAGAAACATATTTACACAAATGTTCCTAAAACTCAAGAAAAGAAAGGAGAAGCCAAAACATTACTAATTGTGGTAATTATAAGATCTTTTTTTTTTTGGTCGAAAGTAATTATAAGATCAAGAACCCTAAAAGTCTCAGGCTTTATGTAAGACTGAGGACAAAGATGCAAACATGATATCTCCAGGAAATTCACATTACTCCTAATAACCAAAAATAGAGAAACTATTGTCTTTTTATAAACTGCTTATGAATTTCCTGCAGATTATATATCACCTAAAGATACAACATATGAACCGTTCTATATATTCCACTTCGGATTATCGCCATTTATGTCAGAGTTTTTCTACTTCTGAGGGAGGAGGAAGAAGAAGAAAAACAAAGAATCTTTGACAGTCTACTCTTGAGTTTTCTGAGGTCAGACCGGAATATTATCGATAGAGTATCCGTCAAAATCGAACTCGCTATCTACCGTTGGAATGCCATCCTGCATTTGATACACAAGAATGAAGTTAAGAGTCATATACTTCAATTAAAGAGTTATGATGTTCATGACTGTTATTATAATGTTTTCAATGTTATATTTGTTAGTATTGTGTAAGGTTAACAAACCTGCTTGAGAAATGCGCTCATGAGATCTTCTTGATTATACTGCTCGTGAAATAGTGTTGTCGAGGGAGGATAAGTCACAGTCTCCGCCACTCTCTCTGACTTCACTCTAACCGAACCACCATCCATGTAAACCTGGTTCAGATGATTCAGACTCCGGCTTGGTGGCGGCTGTTGATGGTTCTGCAAATGATTCATGACTGTTACATCTGTTTCTCGCCTTTTTCTCTGGGTGGAAGACGAAGAAGAGTATGCTTCCGAAGTGGAGAAAGCCGCGGATCCAGCTGCAGTGTCCTGATGGGAATTGAAGACCATTCCAATATTCCGCAGATCCCAATCGTTTAGT